TGTTTGTTGTTGAAGTTCACCCCTTGTTGTTTTATCTATTTTATTAGAAATATCATACTAAAGAAAATTGTAGTGACAACTCACGCCCCCAGGCTTGAGAATTATTTTCAGGCTATCTGAAATCAGCATGTAGATTTTCCTGGGGTTTCCCAAAGGGACTCTTGGAGCACAAGTGTGAGACTGCCCTGCTTGAGGTGCTCTCACCAGGAGATGATGCCCTTTGTAAGGCACTACCTGGGCTAGGTACTCAGCACAATCTAAAACTTAGGCCCCTTGCATGAATCTCAGGATAGGCATCCCAAATTGCTGCCATTTCTTGAAGGAAAGTTGATATCCATCTGTTTAGTGCCTGCACACTAAATATTTGACTTTACACACAAATATATTTGTGTGTGAGTATATATATGTATCAGTGGATGTAGATACACACACACTTGGCAGCTTTTCGGCATCATCCCGTTCATCCAGAGTGGTTGCTGTGGCACATCTGCTTCTGAAGGGTGGGTGTTTATATGCTGAGGCCAAGGAGCCTGCATAATACTTTTAACTCTGGCATCACTCTGCCAGGTTGGCTTGGACCTGTCTTTCTCCTAGATGAGTTTTAATTCCCCCCTTTATAATTTCTTTGTGTGAACTACTTTTTGATCTGCTGTTGAAATGTGATTATATGAAACTCAGCGATTGTTGTCATATAACTTATTTTTCTACTATGTTTACATGTAGATGGTTAGTCAATAAATAAATCTGAAATTGATCATAAATAGTTACCATTAGCTTATATTCCTGAGCACTGGAAAACAGCAAATAGTTCGGGAGTTATTAGTGTATTCTAGTAGGCAATTATTTGCTAGTGCAGCTAAATCAAACTCCTGTCTGACCTGCACTGATGCTAAATTTCACATCAGCTGTAGGATTCTGCTCACCAAACTTCGCATATGTTAGTGTCAGTTTAGGCTGCTTCTACTGCAGATGAAGAAAGCCAAAACCTTTGGGAGTACACTTCTCCCCTCCTTCTTTAGGAACAAAATGTCCTCCATTCTCTCTCTCCCTGAACTTCAGAAAAGGCTGGGTGCCTGACTTGCTTGTAATGAACCAGTGTAGGTGACATACATCTTAGGCAATTAACTACAGCACATTGGTGTCTGGCAAATTTAGAAACATTTTCTAAAGGAGATAAAACCCTCAAAATAACCTTGGCTAGAAATATTGATAAAACTTGAGTGTCGTAAAAATGGTGTTGGGTATCTCATTTAGCAGTAAACTTATTTCAAGGTGATATAAGAAGTTGTATGAAACAAATATTGGACTGTATAAAGAAACATTAAAGGTTTGATGAAGTAGCTCTGGTAGTTTGAAGAGTGAGGTATAAAGAGTCTTTTGATTTAATCTGTGGCTGAAGCCCTATCGTAATTGAAGATATGATCTGTTGTCACCGGTACTTTCTAGGAGCTTTCCTAAAATCAGCTAAGGCCCCAGAAAAAAAAAACAACCTCTAAAGCGACCCATTTCAAACCATTTTGCATTTTTATTTTTTTTTAGTAATTTGTGTGGATCAAAATTCTGAAAAAATTAGAAATGTCCATGTAACGTTAGAGCTTAGTGCTTCTCTGTACCCCTCTGACCTTACCCCACACTGCCAAGCAGAATCCCAGTTTCCAATGTAGAGGGAGAGGTGGCTGTTGCTTGGAAGTTTTGAAATTGCCTGCTTATAGAATAAGCTCTAAAGTCGCCCTTTAAGGAGGAGAAGGTTTGAAGTACTCCATAGGATTACAGTGACATTTGCTAGCATGTTCCAAGGAACTGGTCACCAGTCTTATTGAAATATTTTTTCTCAGTGGGATTCACACTGTTCATTCATTCAGTCCTTTGGCAGCTTGTACTCTTTGTTAATAAATACCAAGATGATAATCTGTCAGGTAGAATTCCTGTCTCCTCTGAAATCCATAGCAAAACTCCCACATAATTGAGTGGAACAAGCTGCTTGAAAATCCTAATATTTTGTGCTCTACTTTTCTTGTTTTAATGCTCTTAATCTCCTTGTTGGAAATGGACCGTCTTTTTTTACCGGTGCTACAAACAGTTTATTGCTTTTCTGTTTCTAAGGCAAAATATGTTTTCCTATTTCCAAGGAAGATATCTTTGTATTTATTAGCCATGACCCATCCATACATTTCTGAAAGAACAGCGTCTGTCATTAAGACCCACCTAAGATGATCAAATGGGTTAGGGCAGATTTCATACTAAGTTTATACTGACAGAAACTTGCAGGTTCAAGAGCAGGCCTAAAGATTCTAATGAAACTTCAGGTATACAAAAAAACCTGAAGTTATACCATGGACTGAAATACAGTTGCTTGCCCATAGCAACTGAAGCCAAATACACTCACCCCTAGCTAAAGGTCCTTCTACCTCCTAAGATTCTGTTTTATGAAAGTAATTATTTCTGAAAGGTGGGACTGAGAGAATGGAAAAAGTTTTCAAGGTAAAACTGCTGAATGTGCTAAGTGGGGAGATAGGAACTGCCAGACATGGGGACTTCCCAGGCCTTACTCCCTGTATTGTTTAAGCCTATTCATCAATTACAGGCAGGTTGGCAGAGTTACAGTGATGATGTAAAAAAATAGTAAGATCTTAAAAATTTGGGGGAATGGGTGTCCCAGATTTGTGTCACTGCTAACAAAAAAGATGCATCTCATTTTAGAGCCTACACAGCATGCTGGTGTAGCTGTCTCAGCCATGTGATATAAAGCCCCATATTAAGAGAAAATATTAAGATAATTTGGTAACAAGACAAACTGCAGTGAGTCTGCTTCATTCATTCCCATTCTCACAGAGCTGCTGCTTTGCGTTGTGTGTGCAGATGTACCGATGTCTCACAGTCTCGGATGGAAACAGGAAGCTTTAGCAAGAACACTCACACGGCTGTGTGATGTGTAAAGGTCTACTGTACCTCAGCCTGCAGAACTATAGGTTTGCAAAGCAGATACCTCTGGAAGATTTGCAGTGTCTGTCTGGACAATATGTGTTCTCTGATCAGTATGTACAAGAGAGCAGAATGGCATCTTGGAAGAGCAGTTGGAAGGGAAATAAAAAAGGGAAATGGGAAACAGAAAAAGTAAAGTTTGAAAATGAACGTGAAAAGGGGCCTCACTGGATTGAGGAATTTTTTGGTGAATAAGGCACTGACTTCAGTGGGTATAAGGCCGTGATTGAAGAATCACAGAGCCGTGAAGGTTGGAAGGGACCCCAAAGGTCTCCAGTTTGACAACCTGAATCAAGCAGATTCCATTGGAGCAGGTTAATCAGGGCTTTGCCCAAGCTGAGTTCAGCCACCTTCAAGGATCAGGATTCCACAGCTTCTCTGGGTGCCTGTTTCAATGTCCAGCCATTCCCATGGTAAAAAATATTTTCCTCGTATTGAGTAGGAATGTGGTATTGTAGCGTGCTTTCCTTATTGCATATCACAATGAGACTCCCCACTCATTCTCTTCTTAAGAACAAATGCAGTTCTCTTAGCCTCTCCTCATGTGTCTTGGGCTCCAGTCCCCTGACCAACTGCTGATGCAGTAATGTATTCAGCTTGGAGTTGTGCAACGGGACCCTCAGGACTTCTTCTGCACAGTCAGTTTTAAGGTAGCAAGTTTTTGTCCTGCGTGGGCTTTTTCCATCCCAGACACGGGACTTTTCATCCTCACTCCCTGAGGATTCTCTCAGCCCGTTTCTCCAGTCTGTCTAGGTGGCTCCAGATAGGAACCGTGTCCAGCAATGTGTGGACTATTCCCCAAGTCTGGTGTAACGTGCAGACTTGCAGAGAGTGCAAAGAAACCATATGCCAAAGTTCTTCATTGAGATAGGTAATTTCTCACTGAAGTCTTAACATCTTGTGAGCAGGATGAGAGGAGTTGCAAGCACAAACAGCTTCATGGCATGAGCTTATGAGCAACTGGTGAAAAATAATTATTAATGTCACTGCAGGTAGTTCTCTACTACAGAGTGAAGTTCATACTGCTTTATCGCTAGTCCATCATTGGATAGAGCAATGGAGGACAGTTTCTAAAATCTACACTTTGGGCTGTGTTTTAGGATGAACCACACTTAAGTATATAGACTGAGTGGGGGAAATGGTGTATCATGTGTCTGGGACAGCTCAGCCATCTGAGACAGTCTTTAACGGTTGAAGTAGATTTCCCAGTCTGTGTATAGAAGAAGAGTTTATTTTCCTTTAGTTGATCTCTCCATCAGATGATTTCCAGCCTGATGTCACAGCTGCGTGATTTGTGTAACATATCCAGACTACTCCTTTTAGAGTTAATAGTTTCATTATTGCTACCTTTTGGTTTTATTTCCCAAGCTTTTAACCCTCGGGGTGCTGCCAGAACTGCCACATTGTTCCCCTATTGTATGTTCACAGGCATGTTTCTCAGTATTTTCTTTCCCTTCGGAGAAAATTGTAGGAGCCTAGTAGCAATTCCCAAATCCCTAAAAAGTGATTAGCGGTTATTGTTCTGTAAGTGCCTAATAGGGAGATTAAGACAGGCCACCAGGTGTTTACACAATAACACTCGGTAGCATGGAAATTCAGCTCTAGTTATTACATGGTGTAAAGGGGGTAAATGCCTGCCCTTGGAGAAACCAGCAATTATTTTGATGCTTGTATTACACCTCATTTTCTCTAGTAAATTGTGCGGTTCGGTTATTTCTTAACTTTTCATTCCCTGATAGGGATTTGTCTGTGTTTCGTTGTAGCAGGATTGATCTGTAACCACAAGATCAGTTTCTATTAAAGGTGTTTTTCTTGCACAGTCAGTTGACTGCAAAGCTGCATTTTTAGTACACCCCTTTGTATCTAACATGACATATTTGTATACAGAAACAATGGAAGGGGGCTATGCTTCACGCTGCAGGTTTGAAATAAGTGATGGCAAAATAGCTTAGAAAGTAGAGCTTTCTGCTCTTCTGCAGCAAATTGTATCATTCACAATGTCTTTTTTTCTGTTTCAGGAGGTTGGAAGCATTATCGGAAAGGTCAGAAAATTACTTTATTTATATTCATGTCAAAATATTGCATATCAGTTCTCTTTTTTAGCCCAGGCTAACGTTTTTTTCTGTTTCTTTAACAGAAAGGTGAGACAGTGAAGAAGATGAGAGAGGAGGTAAGACAAGCCTTGATGTCTTCACTTACCTTTCTTTCCAGCTCAGAGAACAGGGAATTCAGCATATGCAGACTGATGCTGCCATCAAGTGGGCAGTTAATTTAACGTCACCATTCTTAGCAAGTGGTGGTGTATAAATATGCTGGCCCAAATTAAACATTATTGTTAATGTAACCTTCTTATCGCAGCAGCAGTCTGGAGTCTTTCATTCCCACAGCGATATGTCTGCTGGTGTCTTATCTCAGGAACAGCTTACCTGCATTATTCTGTGCATCAAGCCCATTATATCTTTCATTAACATACCAACATTGGTCCTGCATGGGGCTTGGCCTCCTCCTAGGCAGTTTCCAAAAATCTGAAACCAAGCATTAGACTGATGCACGTCAAGTTTGAGGGTATACGCAAGCTTAGCAGAGCTGGAGACAGACTTCTGTAAGCCAAAACATCCCTCTGCCATGTCTTGGCAAAGCCTTAACCCTTCCTCAGTTTGCATCTTTGAATAGGATGTGGGCAGGGTAGACCTGCACACCTACCATTCACATCCTTTGAAAAGGTTGTAGACACAAAATGATTAACTAAAACAGGGCACTGCATAAACCTCAGTCTCCCCATTGTCCACAGGTTTCTTTCCCTGCCACAGAGCAACCTGCACTGTCTTCAGAGAGGTATGCGCAGGTGGAGGTTACAGACTCACACTGGTCTGCAAGGCATCACATCTTACCTGGAGATCTGGCTCATTTTTCTTCTTTGAAGCTACTGTTAAAAGTATAAGTCAAAAGACTAAATCCTACTGTTTAAAACTTTAGGAATGTAGTGTATAGAGGATGCCTCAGGAAAAGTCAGTTTGGTTCTAGTAAAGCTGCAGTACATTACTATGTCAACTGCTTTGTTGTTTTATCCAGTGATAGAAGGTCTGTGGCAAGAAAATGTCAAAGTATTTTAGTAAAGAAAATTGTGGACATCCATCTTTAAATATACACAATAGGGATTTCATTGTCAGGCTGAGTTCAGAGCTCCTTTTTTGATCATAAGAGCTTTCACCCATGTTTTCACACATAAGTACATTTGCTAAGACTTAAACAAAAAGGTAAGAAAAAATGTTTCCAATATACTAGGTAATCCTACCAGTTGATTAAACACATTTTAGTTTAATTATTAATTATGATCATGAGCAGATATCTGTGGATATAAATTGCATGCACAGAAGGGAAGCTGTAATTGGAGAGTGTTCCTGACTTCGGAGTTAAACATCTTAGAGAAGAGTTATGATCCTTGGTTGTCTTTCAAGATAAATATCAAATGTTCTTCTTCCAATCCAGGAAACCACTGTCATGTATCTGTGGTCAAAAGACGCTGTATTTGGTTGGTTGGTTTTTTCAAATAACGGAATTATAAGCATCTTTATATCAGTAAAGGACTAAGAGGCTATGCCTCCACATCATGATACCTTGGTCCCCCTTTAAATTACTACTTTCTTCAATACTTCTTTAAAAGAAAAAAGGCAATCTTTCTTTTGGCTTTCCTGACAGATGTGGCATATTGCATGCCAACTTTATGATATAAAATGTAACTCTGTCTTACTCTGTCATTGGGGAAATGTCAGAGACAACTTCAGGCCTAAAGAAAAGTACAAAAACCTCAGTTCTGTGCTCAGGTCTGTGGCAGCAAGATTTTTCTATCAGTAGTCTTGGGCTTCATTTTTTTCTTATTGTGTGTGGGCGCTTACATGTGGGGAAATATGGTCTTTTGCTGTAGAGAAGCAGTGAGGGTGGGAATAAGGTCTGGGACACACAGCACATCAGATGCTTATGGTGACCCTGAGGGCAAAGGGCCGTATTAACCCAGGTTGTCTCACATTTGCTTCAGGCCCTGATCCCCAAGATCAGTGCCTGTGGATGAGTTGAGGCTCCAGTGACTTGTTAGGCTGCATTAACACATTTCCATGCCTGAAACCTCAGGGAACGTATAGAGTGGGTCTTCCCTGAACTGGATTTGATCATTATCTACACCAAGATCCTCTTAAATAAATACATATCAAAATACAAATATATAAAACCCCGTGGTTTAGGGGCTTTCTCTGTGCTACCACAGTAGCATAAAGAGGACTGAGTATACCTGAGAGCCATCCTGGCTCATCTCCAAGGCTTATCAGTCCATATTGATTGACTGCCTTCACATGAGACACATCCCTCTATAAGGAGCCTTCTCCATAGTGTAAAGTAATGCCCCAGCTGGAGAGGTCAAACCCTGCCTTTGAGGCTTGAAACCAGAGAGTTGCGTCATTCCTGGGAGATGTTGATGCCCCCTGGAGACAACCACCTTGTCTTAAATTATGCAGCTGCAGTCCTACTTAAGGTTAATCCTCCAAGAGGGAAGGAAAGAGACCTGATTATGCAATTATTTGCAACTTTTGAGTTACAGAGGTGTGATTTGCATATTGCAAAGAAGGCTGTGTAAGTATTTACTCCGACAGGATCCTGCTTCCCACAGTTAGATGAATTTTTGAAATGAGATCAGTTTATGCTGAAATTAAATGATGTTGGGGCTGCAGTTGTAGGGGAGGGAATTAGATGCCTCAAGATATTCCTTCCCAAACTATATCCCTAATCCTGCTTAGTTTGCTCCCTGGGAAGTATAACTTTGAAAAATATTTGTTCATTTTGACAGAGTGGCGCTCGAATCAATATTTCAGAAGGCACTTGTCCAGAGAGAATTGTGACAATAACAGGCCCAACAGATGCAATTTTTAAAGCTTTTTCTATGATTGCACTAAAATTTGAAGAGGTAAGCAAATAAAATATGGGGGGGCTCTCTCTTCAAGTTGAAATACAAACACTGTTTGAATTTTCTCGTGTTTGCTTTAATATTAAATAGAATTTGTTTAATGTTCTATTTAATAACAATGAAAGTGGTTGTATTTTTATAAATGCTTTTGGCAGCAATGCTGAAGAAAAATAATGGGTCAATTTACAAGCTGTTAGATCATTTCTTTTGCTTTTTGGAGGCTTCAGGGAACAGCAATTGCTTTTAGTAATGTGCACTAATGGTAGGAAAAATGTCTTGTAAAAATTCTAGTCCCATTGTGGGTTTGGTTTGAAAAGAATAATTGCCTAACTTTTAACTTTGTTTTTATGTAAACTCAGTTGGTATTGATGTAAATTTTAGATAGGTCAAAATGAATATATAACTCATTTAACTAAAAAATTTTTATTTTAAAAACAAACTGTATGATTTCCACTTACTATATTTAAAGCTTGGCTTTTAAAATCAATTAAAATAAAGGCACCAAGAGAAAGTAAGACAAGAGCTCAATTCACTGTAGAATAATTGTTCTGTGCAGATACATGCATAAAGTGCTGAGATCTCCTTCAGTTTCATGGACCAACTACAATTAATCAGGAACTTCACAGAAAAGACAGTAGAGTACAGAACACGAACCCTGGTCACCCTGGAGAGGATTTAATTCCCTCTACTTTTGAAAATCATATGTCTAGTCCAGGCATCTCTCCTGTCATTTCTGGAGAGACAGATGCTCTTGCAGAAAGCAGTTCACCTTTTCCTAAAGGAAGAGCCTGCAGACAGGTGGGCTGAATCACCTACAGCAGAAGAAAGGCATAAGCCATATGACTTGCAACTTGCAACTTCACAACATGATTAAAAACTCATTCGAATTTTTACTACTTTCTGATCCTGGATCCACGACTTCGAGTCTCTCATAATCTGACACTTTCTTTTCACTCCTCACCTGAATTTATTCATGAACAGTTTATGCAGCTTTGTGGCACTGGTTTAAATAATTCTTGCCTTTCCATCCCTGAGGATTCCTCTCTTAGAAGTGTTTTTAGAAACTGATTTTATCCCCTCACATTCTCCACTCCTCTCGTGACTGTAGTAGTCCATCTCTACCTGTTTCCAGTTACAGTTTGTGTTAAACGTGTGCGTTAATTGTGAACAGGTTGCAAATGAAGTTCCACAAAGGCTTATTTGATTGCACTAACAGTCCCCCATCCTAGTTATCATGATAACACATCTGTACCACTGCTGGAAATGCCTCGCCTTTACTAGTGTAATACTTTGCACACAGCCATGTGCCTAGTGGGTATCCCCAGCTCCTGCTCAGGTGTTTTCACCTCTTCAGTCTTGGCAAACATTCCTGTCAGCCCCCAGACAAATGACCTCTTTTTTTAATATTGCAAATGTTAATCCTATTTATATTTCTTCCATCCTTCATGGTTTTTCAGATCTTCCTGTGTGATACCCCAGTCTTTCAACATGTTGATAAAATATCTTGGGTTTGTGACATGGCACATTTTACAAGACTGCTATTTTTTTTCTTGTCTGTTATTAATAAAATAATAATGATTTTGAGGTTGAATCCTGCAGAACCACACAAGTAATTCTGTCTAACCCAGTTTTAGCACCACCTATTGTCATCTCTTTCTCATCTCTTATCTCCTACCCATCTTGAACCAATCCCTGTTTCTTCTAGCTTAAGAGGTAGCTTTGTGTGCAGTACCATACCCTCCAGTCCACAGAATCCTGGAGAGAGCCATCTCTCTGCTCTCTACATGAAAAATATGTTCTGCATAGGGCCTTATCTTGAAAAGTGCTGAGGGAATCATTAACACAGATAATCCTTGCCAGTTCCCACCAAAATGAGTACCCAGTGGAAATAATGCTGCATTTTTCATAAAAACATCAAACACTGCACAGCATCAGATCCTCAGCCTACCACCCAACGCGATGTAGTCTTTGAAAATGCTGTAGCTAGCAGTAGGAGAAGAAATCTGAAATTCAGTCATCTGGATGGATTTTATGCATATTTGCACTAGCAGAGTTTAGAGGGTAGTCTGGACTCTTCATATGAGTATTAGCAAAGGAGTATTGACACTCCTTGCAAATCAAGTACTGCCATTATAAGTTTTGAAGTATCTGTATTTAGTTTTAAACATAATTGGTTTGTGCTATATTTAAAAGAACAGCAGTGAAGAAATATGTCTCAGATAATCAGTTAGGTTTCCTGTAAATCTTCCTGTCAATAAAATGAGATAACTGTAACATTCTGGGGGCAAAATAAAGTACTGTTTCAGAAATTACAAATAAGCTAGCTACCAAATGGTATTTTTCATGCATATCTTTTTGTTGGAGATTTCTTCAGTCATTTAAAAAATTTGGTCCAGCTCTGGCTATTGCAGCTACATTCAAACAGAAAAAAAAGGTGCATGTGTGAGACTGCTGCTTTGAGGAATTTTTTTGGTATTTGTTATGCATGCCCCGGGAAGCATTTTGACATGAAGCCCTTGAACCCTTGATTTCAACCCCTACAGCTGTATGCCTGGGGATAAGGAAGGGTCTAGGAAGACATGGAAGCCTTGGAATGCCTTTCAACTGTTAGTAAAAATCTCAAAATGTGTCAGATAGATAGAAAAAAAGAAAGGTTGTGTTCTGCTCTGCAGCCTTATATCACTCTGCTTTGACAACCTTCCTAATAAAAGGTGATTTTCTAGCAGTCTTAGATGAATTTACAAGCTCGGTAGGTAATTACATAAATAACTTAAGTATCCACTGCAAAGGAAAAAAAGAGTTGTTAAAAAATGACACTACCCAGGCAGACCACTGGAATTGCAAGAGAGGACATTTTAGAGCAGTCATTTCTGGACTGGAGGCTGAGACTGGAGAAATGCAGCTGGAACTTCACTGGTGAGTGGGGCAGCTCTAACTTTGCTTGTAAGTGTATAATCCACAGGAAGCACGTGGTAGTTAAGCACTGGAATAACCAGTAGGTACAGCTCAACTGGCACTCCCAGCACTTCCAGGCTCCCATTTAGCCTGTGCAGGCTGAGGAGCAGCCCACCAAGCAGGCAGAAAGCCATACAAGGTCCAGCTCTGGTGTCTGACAGAGCCCTGAGGAGATGGATGCAGTGCCAGCCCTATTTGGGAGCCTTCAGTTCTGAAGGGGATTTTTTTCTGCTCATTTCTCTTTTGTCATGTTTTTAGGCTGAACTGACTCCTTTATGCACTCCACGCTGCTGAGCCTGCATGTTTAGATTTTGCTCTTTTTAAATGCTGAGGAGAAAATAAAGAGCATACTGGCTTTCAGTTTTTGCAAAGTGCTTTTGAAAGCAGCAAGTGCAGCAAAGGCTTTGAGGCCAGGCCACAGATTGTATGGAAGTAGGAGACATTATCAGGGTTGTGCTGTGTGGCTAAAGAGGATTATTTACCTACATCTGGATGATCGTGTGCCTATACCTGCCACAAACATGATACAGTGAGATGGCATCTTCCAGCTGAAAAATCCACATGACTTGGCCTTTATTTCAGATACATGGGTGCTGCAAAATTTTGTTATCCCCCTCACTTTATTTTGGAATGCAATCTCTCACTGACACAGGCACTAAACAAAATGTGAGTTACTGCTGGCTGGCAGAGGAATTATTTGATACCTGTCTTGTCACATGCAGCAGTGCTTCATTCCGTGCAAGATTTTTTTTCTTCTCTTTTAAGCTAAGCAAAGTCATCCCAAGCCATTTCTTGGACAGAAGAATGCTGCCATCAGGGTTGGGGAGGTACTGTAGGGATCAGTGCTGGTGTTACTGGGCTCCCACACCAGTTCAGTGAGACATGCAGAGTTGCTTGAAGTACAAAGTAGTTTGTTGGATATTTTTTTTAATTTGGGGTCCCAATTGCACAGTATAGGCACTTTTTTTTGTTTTTCTAGCACGTGATAAGCGAGAATGTAGGGAATCATATCAGTTCTGTCTGCTGGAACTCGTGTTGCATCACAAATGAGTTAAATTAGTACAAAATGCATGTTTTCTCATTCCTGTCCAAATCTCTTGGGTAACATTTCTGTGAAAGGTATAATAGCTGTGCCCTGGCACCTCACAGATGGATGAGACAGTCTTTCCAGTTCATAGCTACTGTTACCAAAACACATTGAGATTCTTACGAGTTGTTGGACAGGTGCCATGCAGCCTGTGGCTTTTTATTTCTGTGATCCTAAGTCCGCTTAACAGCATCCCATTGATCAATGGGAAGATAAGCTTTGTCTTTTCCTCTGTGATGAAGCCTTTAGAGGGATTGTTTTGTATTGCCTAGAAGATTTTCAGCAAACAAAATATATTTAAAACAGTTTAAACCTTGCAACAAGTAGTATATTGAGATGCTCGTGAGAACGTATAGTGTAGTCTCATTAGATAATGAGATACACAGATATATGTTACATTACCTGGATACAGGCAATTGCTGTTCTGCTGAGCATTTTGTACTCTGGTTACATAGCCATGGTGGAAAAGATTTTGAAACTGGGTAGCACTGCAACTGCTTATGGATCTGCTACAAAAGAGACATTTTATCTAGGGGGCAGCAAAATATTCGTCAAACTAACCTGATTTTCTCTGCTTCAGATTATTCAAAGGTTCATTGTCATTCCCTTTTTTAATCTTTGTCTTTTGTACCAAATCTGAGAAGAAACTCTGTGAAATGTAAAGACATATCATATAGTATAAACATTCTAATTAAGATGGAGAAAAAGAGACCAAAACAGGACTTGGAAGCCTGTGAACACAAAAGCCTCTTTGCCTTTTTCATCTGTTTGGGCTGGTCTAATGACAGATACCACCTCCTCCTCCCTGTCTTGCCCTCTGACCCCACAGCATGGACTTGCAATCCCAAACAGCTGAAGGGTTCCTCTGGCACAAGCCACTTGTGTGGCTCGTGCTTACGTTGTATCTCCGCCAGAGCCAGTGGTTTTACTCACCACAAAACAAACTAGAACTGGTTGCACGCTCCCCAGGTCTCTACAGGCATTTTCTCTGAGCCCTTCAGTGCTTACCAGGAGTGACAAATCCCCCGCTAATGCTCACTGACATTGTGATTACAGGACATAAACGCTTCAATGACGAACAGCACGGTGACAAGCAAACCGCCCGTAACACTGCGGCTCGTCGTCCCGGCAAGTCAGTGTGGATCCCTTATAGGAAAAGGAGGTTCCAAAATCAAAGAAATCAGGGAGGTAAGTAGGTCATCATGGTATGTCTGCTGGGGACACTGGCTAGCTCAGCATCCTACTGCAGCATGCCCTGCCAGCGTCACCCACTGCACTTTGCTCATCACACCAGCATGAGCATGTGCTGAGTGAAAAACCTGTAAAAACCTTGCTGTAAGAGAAGCAGCGGGTCCAGCACAGCTGGACCCTTGTACTTTCCTTGACACTAAAGACCACGAGTTAAATATAAAAACAGCTTTACAATACATAAAGCCCTTGATGCACAATTAAGTAAAACAACAGTGACAGAAATGGATCTTCAAGTTTCTCTTCAGGCACAGGCCCTTCCCCAGCAATACTCAGGCTATCCCAAGTCAGAGAGTTGCAACCATTTCCAAATTAGTTGCCACGCTTGGAGACAGAGAAAGACCCAAGTAGCGCTGGGAAGTCCAGGTTCTACTTTTTAGAAAAATATGATTTTCATAGTTCTGTTCTGTTTCTCCCTAATGTTAATGTGCCACAGGTGAACTGGTTTCATGTATTCCAAACACATAACTGTTTTTTTTTAATCCAAACTTTAGCTAAGGTATTCACTTAATGTGCTAGCAGCCACTTTTTCTTCTAACCAAAAAATGCAAAAATGATCATACTTTGCCAGTTTTAATTCTTCCATGCATGATTTTAACAATATGGCACATGCCAAGCCAAGGATTCGGTGTTTGTAATCAGTCATACAAGAAAATTAGGAACATGCTTAGTTATATAGAGAAAAATCTGACTAGGAAATTTTAGAAAAGTGGATTATTATTCTGAAGAAAGTGACGGTATTCTGTCTAAATTTGTATTTATTCCAACAGAGGATGAAGTGTTGAATGTTAACATGTTGATCCATTTTTTTATTTGTCTGTGTCAAAAAAACCCACTTTTGACAGGTTTTACCATGTTACTTTTTAATCTAAAATATAGATTCAAGACAGTAGGTTTTATGAAGCTTTAAGTTGATTTTTTAGTTGTATTAAAACTGGAGCAGGCATGAGTGTGAACTATGTGCTAGTGAGTACTTAGCTCTAGGTTTTGCAGCTTGGATTTTATTTTAAGTATGGGTAACTCCATTGAGAGTACTGAAAGAATGCATTTAGGACATAGGATTTTAAAGGTAAGATTGGTCTGTTGGTTAAATTAAATGACTGAAGTGATTATCCTGGTGAGCATAGTGTCATAAGCAATTACCTTTAGTCTAGTACAAGAAAGTAAAAGGATAGTGTTTGGCCAAATAGGTGTTTTGATAAGACTAATGTAGCAAGAAGTCACACTGCACATTTCCTTAAGCATAACGGACAAAATATTACTCATTTTTTCATTGCTGATATATAACCAAAAAGACTGGCACTGGAAGCAAATGCATGAATGACTCTGGCAGTCTTTTGTGCTAGATGTACTCATACCCAGAAATGTATGTTAAAAAGCAATCTCATCATCACACAACACATAGAATAGCAGTTGCACGAGGGATGGTCTTTTGTGTTCAGTCGTGCATCCAGAAACAACATGGAGGGTTGCAGTACTATTTTCAAGATAAGATTACAAAAAGAAAAGGAAAAAGAAAGGCATGATGATTGATCAAATTATGGAAAAATTCCAAAGCCTATTACAGAGCAAGGAATTGATATTTTGGCCTTAAAAAGCAGTAGTGAATAGAAGATGCAATCAGTAATTTAATCAGTCTTTGGAAAGAAGAATAACATGTGTTGTGTGTAACCAGCAGGAAAACAAATTAACTCCTTGCTGACTGACATGAAGTCAGTGGTTACTGAAAATATATTTTTTTAAAAGCCCCAGATACTGCATTACAACAACAGTTAGGAATAGATCTTTTTTGCAATATGTGAAAGACCTAACTCAATATCAAATGCCTGGGTTTTTTTCTATGGATTCAAAAGGTCTTCCATGTTTGTGAAATAATATCAGGGTTTGTTTTGGCTGCCAGTATTTTTTTCTTTCTTTGGGTTTGGGGGTTTTTGTTTGTTTGTTTGTTTGTTTTTGGGTTTTTTTTTGGTTAACTAACACACATTAGTGCCAAGATCAAATTTTAAAAAATAAAAAAACCCAAAAGTGGCTCATTACCTCCTTGGATTCATTAATGAGCTAAAAGTTGATGATATGCATATATTTAATCAACACTATAATTTAGAAGTGGTTCTATACCATCCTGAAATATAGCATAAGGCAGCCTCAGATTTCAACAAGGAGCACAAGTCAGCCATCAATAGATTAAAGAGCCATTTATCTGAGACACATTTGATTAGCCAATCTTCTTCAGTTATTGGTATTTTTTCCTTTCATTTTTTTATTATTGAAAAGTACTTCATTACACGTTTTTAATTTTTTAGTCAGCATTCCAACTGTCTGTCTTCAAGAGGGTTAAAAGACTTCTCCTGAAATTCAGGTCACAGTTTGATTCATTAATAGCTGCTAAGGGCTAATCCTCCTAGGATGGGAGTGCTGGCAAATTGGCTTGAACAGGCAAATCCATGTCCTGCCAGACCCCAGTTGCCCTGTGTGGGGATGAGTTTTACCTACACGCTCTACCACATGTCTAGGAAAGAAAAGACAAAAAGTTTAGAGGTGAATGACTGGGTTTGGAGAGGTGCCATTTCCTCGTGGTGACACTCCCTTTGCTTTGTCTCTGCTCAAGTCCACAGGAGCCCAGGTGCAGGTAGCGGGGGACATGCTGCCGAACTCGACGGAGCGCGCAGTGACTATCTCGGGCACTCCCGACGCCATCATCCAGTGTGTGAAACAGATATGTGTGGTTATGCTGGAGGTGAGTGAGCACTTGGCATTTCACCTCTCACTCGGGAGGTGCTCAAACACAGTATTAATAATTTTCAATTGCCATGGGCTCCCCTAGGGTACTGCCTGCCCTTCCTGTGCTGGGAATTTCCAGAGGGCTCAGTTAGACTGTGCCCTTCTGGGGATTTGAGATCCTCTCGCAGCAGGGATTAGCAATCAAAGATCAAGGCTGTCATGTCATTGTCAAACAACAACCAGGTCCAGCACGGAGCTGCAGCTGTTCTGAGAGAAATGCATTTTATTCTGATGCAGAATAGGGAAGAAAACACCTAAGTCTTGTTTAAATAGAAATAATTCTGACTAGTCAGGACATTCCTTAGGGTCAGGTCATTGCATAAGACCAGAATGTTTTATTTTGATGGCAGATTTTTTAGCTCTTAGTTTAAATGATACAAAATCAATTTATATAAAAATCCCCTTGCTGAAAATGCCCATAATTTCATGCAAGTACATTTCTCAACTGAATGGAAATTTGTAAAAAAAAGTTTTAGCAAATCAAAATTAAGTATTTTGACCTAGTAATTTTTGACAATGAATGTGAAACGTCTCTGCTTTTATCACATTTTCCACTGGAAAATTTTCTGTGGTTTTTAGGTTTGTTTTGCTTTTTACATAAGTCTAGTCAAATGCTGTCTCATGGTGACCTCTGACACCCTACTGTTTTGTTATTCTTTAAAGAGAGGAGAAACAGTGGAATGTCTGAGACAGCACTACAGCTATTGGCTGTTCAGAAGTATGCAGTGCATCAAAATGACATAGAGCCTTTGCATTAAAATGTTATACAGCCTAAATGCAAATAAAAGCATAAAACCTAATAAATCCCCAGTGTTTTAGTGGGGAAAACTGACTCTTCCTTCAGTTTTTGCTGGACTACTGTGAGGAAGAAGTTTCTGTATAAAAATACAAGAGAATAGAAACTAATATTAAGAAATAATTTTAGTTTCTTAGAAATCTTTTACATGAAGGCAACAGTTACCAGCTTTGTAACTACTGAATGTAGTCTATTGTCTAAGTGACATTGGTGGAATAAATAGTTATTTAGTAAAGAAGAAGAGAGAAGCTGCTTCTCAAAATCAGAGAGACACAATCCTATTTCTCCACAGGTAGAACCACTTTTTAAATAGCCAGCTTTCACTTAAGAGTAATTAATTTTAGGGTTAGGAGAATAGCAAGCAGCACAAAGAGGACACTGGCTTAACTGCAATTTGCTACTTCAAACATTTAAGAACACATATGTGCTCTAATTTGTAGCATATATTTAATTTGGCAACAAGCACTTTCATTGACATGCAATAGCTAATTATGTGATACCAATTCATGGTACACAAATTGTTGTAACCTTCTCTAGTTGTAGTCAGCACACTGAAATCAGGGTACCATTCTGCTAGGTGTTCCACAGACAGCTTGAAGCCGTTTTTGCAGACACATGCTCCTGCTTTACTTACGAGGATAAAGTTAGCCTCAGTCAGGGGTTTCCCCTTGGGTTCTTGCCTTGGGCTACAGGGAACAGGTCCCCTTTTGATGCATTACACAGGCCGTGGTTATACTCCTGCTGAAGGTGAGAGGATTTTTCTCCAGCCTTCCAGCTCAGTCAGATAAAAGGCAGGATCAGGCTGGTCATTTGCAATGGAACAGCTGACTTAATTGAGTTGGTGAAAAAGAAACCTTGAAGTGTAAGCAGTATGGGGAAGATTGATAAGCAGGAGATGGGCTCTCTGTTAGCAAAACAAGAGGCCAGGCTGGACTGTTCCAAAACTTTGACAAATTTCAAAATTGTGCCTGTGTTTCTTGAAATGCCTTGGCATGCTTAATTAAGCTTCATAGCTTCGTCTGACAGTGGCAGTAATGAACCGCAAGTGTCACCACTGCCTGTTTTGGCTGTGGAGTAGGTCCTCGTCTCTTCCCCTGAAAGCCCAGACAGGAGGCCTCTGGCATTCTTTTGGTCTGATGGGATGGAGGGCAGGGTGGGCTGGGTTAGCTGCATGCCTTGTTGTCTGAGGTGACCAAGATAAAGAGATATTTTATTAATACAATATCTGCTTCATTCTGCATTTTGATTGCTTTGTGTTTTTGTCTGCAGTCCCCACCCAAAGGTGCCACCATCCCCTACCGTCCCAAACCTGCCTCTGCACCTATCATTTTTGCAGGTGGCCAGGTAAGAGCAGACACCATTTTGGCTTCAGCTGGAAACCACACCGTCTTGGCCCAACCTCAGCCAGCGCCTGTTAGTTTTCAACTTTTACTCTTTCTTGCCTGGTATAGTATTGATGTGCTTTGTCTACTCTGCGTGCTTACAGTTTGCAGGACAGGAGAACACTGCATTGCAAACTTGATGCAAAATGTGATGACTGGTATTTTACCAAGATTTAAAATTGAATTCTGTAATTAAGAAAAGTTTACCCTTCTGTGAATTGAGAGGTGTCCAAATCAGATGCTCGTTGAGTGGGACAAATATCCTTATTGTGGGGTCAGTTTTTTGACTCTTAATTTGTAGCTCCACTAGCAGTATAAGCAGTTTTGTCACTTTTCAGAGATAATCAAACAGCAGGGCATCTCTGCTCATGAAAGGCATAATTTTTCTCTCATAGTTTTCATATTTTTTGTGACCAAATAGTACCTTTTGCAGTAAAAATTTACACACGCACAATGTCTGCTGTTTGTAGTCCCTTGGGACCAAGTAGCAATGGGTTTCTGAGGTTGCAGGAACTACCTACATGCAAATGTAGACCTTACCAACCACAGCATGCAACAGCCTGATTGATAACATAAGAACAGTGTTCCTGTTTCTTTTTTATGCAAGGAAGTTTTGATGATTCCCCCTTCATGTTAAGCTATATCAGTCAGGGTTCTCATCTGCCTTTAGAAACCCATGTGCACTGTGATTCTTCTGTGTCTTTTGGTAATGCTCTGAAATGAGTGTTCAACATGTGGCTGAGACATAGCAGAAATTTCTCGGCCATCATCCATTGCAGGGGGAATGCAGCTGTAGTCACTGATAAGCCACTGATGAGCACAGTTGATAAGTACTCTGAAAACACCACGGGAGGCTCACAAGGGGACCTGTATAGCCACCAGACTACGAGCAGTGGTGGAGCAGTGAAATGGTGCAACCCTGTCCAACTCAAGGGGAAATTGATCCCCTAAACCCAGCCTAAAGGAAGGCAGCCATCTCTCTACTCAGGATTTACATATGTAAAGCCTCTCTAAGGCACCCCCACCCAGCCAAATCTTTTCCCCATGGTGATGTCAAGACCTCTTTTTAAGCAGTTACCGGTTTACTCACCTACATGGTGGAACATCTGCAAGCAGGTTCCACCTCCCATCCCATCGGCTCACCTCAGGTCATCACCCTGTTGTGGGGTGTGAGCTGCTGTGACAGCAGCCCTAGATACCACGTCCCACCGCAGGCAATTTGGAAGTCATATGAGAAGCTGGACACTGGGTTCCTGGTGGGGCTGAGGGTACAAGGTGCTGCTGGCATTGTTGGTATGATGACCCGTGCCACCACAGTCTGCTTGTATAAGGAAGCTCCTGCACCTCTCAAGCAAACACCGAAACGCCATTACTTCTGACAAGCCTTTATCATGAGCTTTCTCTGAATTTTTTTGTTTTGGAGTTTTACTTTCTAGTCTGTAAGGATACGTTGTGATGTTTATGCAGATTTTTATAACTTGGATGTAGTATCTTTCCTCATGTTCAAACCTGCCAGTGCTAATTGTCTTCAAAATAAGAAATCTGCTTCCTTAGTTACCAAAGTTGAATTGAAATTTAAAATAACTTGCCAGAAATTGGTCTATGACTGAAAGTTCAGAATAATTTACTCCATACATATGTTTGCACTGCAGTGCTTTCCTTTAAGAAATATGTGTATATGTATGCAGCAGCCCATTCTACCAGTATTGTAATTGCTACTGCCATCAAAGACTGTCTGTGTATATGACTCCTCAAAAGTATTGAAACTGTTTGCTAGAGTGCTCCAAGCAGTTTGTATAAATAATTGAAAGTATCCTATTTTCCATTCTTAATAGCTCTTGTAATCTTCAGTTTTATCAGTTAAAAGAGTGTTCTCACTTTTCTAATGCAGCCTTGTTGATGTGAGAAAGAGTGTAAAAGACAGACACTTTCTGTGTGCTTTGAATTTCTGTGTTCTCTGGCTAAGCAGACTTTTTAAGAAAATGCTTAAGATGTGTTTGGACATCAGTATGGAAAGACATTTTAACCATGTTTCATAAGTGGAAATTAACACTGAAAATAAAATTTTATCAGCACTGTTAATTACATTCAGCCTTTTAGCTGCACTATCAGAAATTATTTTTCTGTTCTAAATTACATCATGGCTATCTCAAAAGGTTTTGGTTTCTTTAATACTTGCATATCAAGCAACATCAGCAAAATAAAATTTTAGTTTTCTTTAACAAATTGGGGTTCTTCCACTTTAAGTATTGTTTTTAATTCTCTTGTGCTTCCTTGATACTGTATTGCATAAAAAACTAAAAGGAAACTGCCCTGCTCTGCCCCTTAACCAGTACTTAGCATATGCAGTGGTTAAATTGGAAATTTCTACCCAGTGTGCTACATTGGTGTTCAGATGGGTACTCACAGGGTGCAGCTTTGGTTTATGTCCCATAGCAGTTTTATGGTTTAAATTGAGAAAGACTTGAAGACCAGCTTATCCCTGCTGTTACTTACATCAGTAGGAATGTTGCCCTTGACTTTGATGGAAGCAGATCCATAGCTCATGTCTCAGTGAAATGTTAAAGGACAGATGTCTCGGCAGACTCTCCCAGGCTTGTGCTCAGTATGCCTCAGCCCCAGAAACACATGGTTCCCCAGCCAAGGGGTAATGCTGTCAAAGACTTTTTTCTCAACCTAAATCAATCAGATGACCTTTTGGGAGCCTAAGAAATTAAGAACTTTCTTTTTTTTTCTTTTTTTTTTCTTTTTTTTTTTTTTTTTTTACTGGGAAAGAAAATTCAAGTCCCATCTTGTCCATGCTGCTATGATGGTTTTCATTGACAACCAAAGCAACCAAGTAAACCTAGGCCAAGCACTGAATGTTTTTGTTATTTCTCCAGTCTGTTTGCTTTCTTGTATATGTACATGGAAGTATGAGGGAGCAGAATGATGAGATAAGGGCTGAATTTCATTAGGTTCACTGGTGATTTCTTTGTGAGGGGTTCTTGCTAGTTTGCAGACCACTACTTGAGAAACAGCCATGTGAAAGATGTTCTCTCAGCTAGGTGAGAAGTAAAGCTGAGACCAGAAAGGACACTTGTGATCCAGCACAGAGGGTCAGATGCTAAAGCAGGGTTTCCAAACCTGAGGCTGCTCCTGTGCTTGGCTAAGCACAGAGCCCCCACTCAGCTTATCCTCATTTGGTAAAACAGTTAAACACGTCTTGTTTGCTTGAACACATGCTTCCTTTAGACCCACTGATGGCAGTGATCACCTGTTTTGGTGGACTGGAAGCTTGTCTTTTGATACATAAACCGTCATTGATGGCCATCCCCTATAGATGCACGTGAATATGTTTGCCCATGAACTCCCATTGAGCCCCACACTTCTGCCTGAAAACTGCTCATGTGAATAATGTTTGCCAGATTACGGCCTGGCTTTATAACTAATTTAAAAACTAAATGAAATGTTTCTTCTCCAGAAGGGAAATTCTGCTGCAGAAATGTGCATCACGCAGTTGAGACATTAAAGGTTTTAATATCCAAACTCCATTAAATGAATTGTTTGATCATTTACAGAGGATTCATTGCTTTCTAAGAGGCCTTTTGTCAAATAAGCATTTTGCAAACTAAGCTAATCAGCTCCGTTCCTGTTTATAATTCTCCCACTACAAATATTTATGTTATAATTTGTCCTTCTGCTTTCCTGCCTGTCTAAGCACAAGCACATTAATTTTCTTCTGGCATGCCATACCTTGCAGATACAATAGAAAATCATAAACTCTCTGTAGTTTGTAGGCCTCTACAAAGAGCAGAACAGAACCAGCAGAAGAGACAAAGGACTGTGTTAACTGGTGCCAGTTATATCCCTCCTCTCTCACATGCTTTTTTGCCTCCTCCACCTCAGCCCAGTGCTGCCAGAAGTGATGCCAGAAACTATACCCCATGCACTGTTCTTGTGGTGCAGAGTGGCTGAATTTGGAGGGAGGATATTTGGCTTTTTGTGGAAGATAAGACCACCATGCTGGGGGTCTCCATCATGCTCCTATCTCCAGGTTGGCCTGCTGGCCCTGTGCCCAGGCAGTGCAGGACAGACTGCCATCCAGCACATGTACTCTCATACCCCCTGGCACAGCAGCCTGGGGTGCAAGCCCCATGAGGTGCCCCAGGGCACGTGTTTGCTGGCATTCAGCATCTGTGGTTGTTGATAACCAGAGGAGGTGACTCAGAGCTGACTGGCACATGTCCATGCACACACATGGCAGTCAGGAGCTGGATGCAGGGCAGGGCAGGGCATCCACTGGGCACATCTGCCCCCTCTTTGCTATGCCCCTTGCTGCTTCGGCATCAGCATCTCCCTATGTGCATTGGTGTCACTTGGCAGATGGAGTAGCAGAGAGGGGAAGTGGCCACCCCCTGTGCTCCTTGACCCCCTCAGTGTCCTCAGCTCTGAGGTCCTGAGGGTCAAGGTTGTCAGAGCTCAGGCAGCGGCACTGGGCATCCTCTGCGTGCAAGGGATAGGTAGACAGCCTGACAGAGACCTTTCTGTTCTGTGCCAAGAGTTATCAAGCAGCACAAGACAATTAAACTTCACTCAGTGTTGAAAGCGATGCAGGTGGAATTTACCTGAGGGGCCAGGAGAAGCTTTTCTGATGAGAACAGGAGCGCTGCTTGTCCCACCTGACTAACCTGTGTCTTAACTGTGCTTGTTTTCAGGCATTCACGATTCAAGGGCAGTATGCCATCCCTCATCCAGACGTGAGTCCAGCACATGTAAATTACTCCCTTTTTGTTCCTCTCCCTCTTATTTGTTCTGGGCAGCATTTGCTTTCTACAGGTAGCAATAAAGACACGGCCTAAGGACACCTTTCCTGAACAACACACTGTATAGCCAAGTGTTAGCTCAGCTGCATCTCTTACCTTGTGTAATAATTGCTAGAAAGTACAATGGCCCAGGAACAAATGACAGTTATCTTGGTCTTTTTTCGCATGTGATATATTTGAGTTCTTTTAATATGTAATTCTACAGTAATTAGTTAATATTAACAACAGTCATTACATGTAATAACAGTAGAGATGTCATTTATAACCACTTTGGGTTTTCTTTTTTTCCTCTACGGTAGACTAGAATGAATTATTAAACCTTTTTTTTTCAATATAATTTTAATTAATCCAGTTTTAGAACATGTAAGATGGTTTCTCTGCTCTGAAATAATTCCATTTGATTGGTTAGTTCTAATTTCCCATCCTGCCCTGCAGTTGACCAAGCTTCACCAGTTGGCTATGCAGCATCCCCCCTTTACTCCCCTTGGGCAGACCACCCCTGGTTTCCCTGGTACGTACCCATGACCCCCTGGGGATGTCCTTCTTCTTAACAGCTTTGTTTCCCGTGGTCATTACATCATTTTAATAATAAATGTGGTCAATGACCAGCAATCCTTCTGTTTTTATACATTAACCTCTCTTCTTCCCCCCCATACCTCTGTTACAATTCCTGTCATCACTACTACAACATGCTTTGTTTGTTACTTTTATTAATCACAACTGCTTCATTTGTGCCATTAGCTAAAAGCTCCAAGTTTCTTTTGTTCAGTCCTCATAAAGTTATTATGGACCATACAGTATGTACCAGTTGCTTACAAGTGAAGTACTTGGGCATGCTCCTTGTCCAGTTTAGTAACATAGTTCAGAAAGAAACGAAAATGGAAAACAGTATGTATTCATGGTACAGAAATACCAATTAAAGAAATTATGGAATGCTGAAACTTGAATTCCTGTAGAGCCAAATCTCTTGAGAGCATCTGTAATCATCACTGCTGGGACAAGTGCCTCACTTCCTACTAGATAACACAGATATAGCTACAAAGTGCAATGGCACTTTAGCTAAGGACTACAAATTTGTTCTATACTTAATAAAGCTGAGGCTGAATTCTTGATTCAAGAGTGAGAAGTCACTTAACCCTGCAAATAAACATTTTTACTGTGCTTCAGAGCATACATGCTTGGTACCTAAAAACTTCAGAGAACAGAAATGCATATGTACTGGTACATGCTTTGTATGGCAAATAACATTTTATCACATACATCAAATTCTGTGAGCAACATTTGATATTTTTGTAGAATGTGACTTAAGCATATGCAACTCATAATTGAATGTAAACATCAGTAAAATGTAGGCAAGTCACTTTTCTGTAGAGTATTTCTTTTCCATCTTTTCTAGTTGGAAATTAGTATTTTTGGCATGTCTGTACAGATAATACAATAAACAGCAAAAAAGAGAACATAAGAGAAAGAGACATGACATCCAAAATATTCTTTTGTTTCTTTATGATGTATCTGATAAAATACCTACAAGTAATACTAAACTGCCTTTCCTAGCTTTGTATTTTCCTTATTCTTGTCATTAACATACTGCTCCCTGATCTTTTCCTGGTTATATTTGTGAGATGTACGTTTCTGTAATGTTACTGTGTGTTAAAGCAGTAATTCCATTTTTCCTGAGCATTTTCCTTTTGTCCACCCAATTTACAAACAAATGTATGCAGCTTAGAGTATTTTGTCCATTTCCCTTCCAAAATTACCCTTCCCAACATTTCTGCAGCAACTAATCCCACATATATAATTTTAAAATTTTCCTAAGTTAATTTCCTTGTCCTTACTTTAATTTGTTATTTTTTTATTTTTCATATCTGTGTATTTTGTTCTGCTAATTGTTCACTTGACATCCACTTTAATTTTACATATTCTAGAACTCCTGGTAGACAGGTCAAATTTCAGCCGTCCATTAATTTCTCAGTTGATGTGTTTAGAACAAACTTTGGAGACTATTTTTAGGGGAAACCCTTCATTTTCTAGAAGCTTTTTGTGACCTTGTGGAATCTCATGTAACATTTGTTGCTTTGGTGGGTTAAAGGTTAATTAAAATAAGACTCATTTAAAATTAGTCCAGCCCTCAGAGTTTTGCATCCTTTGCTTTCTTTTCTGTTTCACTAGCAGTTCTCTTTTTTCTTTGCTCCTCTCTTCTCTTTTTTTTTCTCTCCTTCCTTCTATATGTTTTCTTCTTTAAAATTTCATTTGTTGTGTCTTGCCCTTCTTGCAAACAGCTGGCGTAACATTTTCCCTCTGTCCCCTGAATAGGACTGGATGCCACTACTCCAACCAGTTCCCATGAACTTACTATTCCCAATGATGTAAGTGGACCAATAGTCCGTATCTCTTTCTCTTCTCTCGCTCCTCTGCCACCAGAGGGGAAACATCTCATCTTTGGCTGATCTGTAAGCAGTAGCCCCCAGAATAAACTGTACAGCATTTAGTCTGTTGGGAAGAGGGTGCTTAGAGGTTAGTGAAATGCTGGATGGAAGCAGCGGAAGTGACTGTCCCCTCTCGTGTCAGGTCTCCAGCAATGCTCTGTTGGTTGCCTGATGGTGCTGGTGCCGGGGTGCTTCACCGGCTTCATTAAAGCCTGGGTGCCTGCTGCTTTCCTAGATGAGTTCCCAAAACTCATCTCTCAGGTGGCAGCAGCACAGGTGGTCTCAGCAGAAGGGCTAAAGGGGGTGTAAGAACATGCAGCCCCATGTGCTGTGTGTTGGGCTGGAGTCCTCTGTGCCAGGGAGTGGAGAGCTTGCGCCACAATGACTTGTGCTGTACCAGTCCCCACTGCACCTGCACTTACCCAAGGCATCATTTTTCCTCAGCAAAAAAGCTACTTTGGTTATGTGAAGGTCCAATATAAAGGATTATTTGAAAAAAACAAGGATTAGAAACACTCCTGCTTCAGCTACTGGGCTGGCTATGATCAACAGGCCCAGTGTCCATGAGCAACATGGTGCTGAACCTTAAAACAGCTACTCAAAGTGCCCAACTGATACACTGCGCGTCATGTAAAAATGCCTTCCCCTGTTACTCGATTTCGTTGCAAACAGGGTTGGGGTTTTTTTTTCAGTTTTCATTGCAAATGAGTCACTTGGAAAATGGAAGTTTTCCCCTCTAGTAAAAAAAGCTTTCAAACATAAGTGGGAACACAAATAGCAATTAGACTATTTAAAAGATAGTTAAAATATTGTGCAAGCCCTATTAAACTCAATGGCAATGATTTACAGTAAGAAAAAGATACAGAATAACAAAGAAGCAAAGGTGCAAGTGCTGTGACTTCATAAGCTTTCTGTTACTTAAAAGATGCGATTTATCAGTACCTGCTTTACAACCCAATTTGTTGTATGTTGAGAATTTTATAGGAGCAACCTGTTTGTCCTTACAGTGCAATTTTTTTAAATCTCGCTTTCAGGCAGATCTTGTTCTTGCCATCAGAGATATAAACCCAAGGTCACTCTTTTGACTTCTTTTGGGGTTCATAGCGGAGAAAGAAAAGGAGGAAGTTTGCCTCGGGTCCTGTAGTGGAGTAGAAAATTTAAAAACCCCGTCAGTTTCTCATGTGGGAGGTGTGAAATGCCCCAGCTCAGCACTGTCAGTGAAAAGCAAACACACATCCACGCTTTGCTTCTGACAGAAGATTTTTATGGCTACGCAGTGTGAGTCTTGCTGTTGTTGCTAAAGGAGCAAAGTCAAGGCGAAAATGGAGTTAGGCTTAGAAACAGCCTGCACAGACTCTACAGGTGGTAAGAGGGAGTTCTGATGTTCATGTGGTGTCAAGGTGTGCATTAAAGCACCGAAGGGCATTAGTGCTGCCCACCAGTGGTCTGTGCATGCCCGTGTCTGTGTGTTCACACTTGGTGTTGCAGTGCCAGCACAGAGGGGAGAACAGGCTCCCATGTCTCATCAGGCATCTGGAGCTGCTTGGGAATTTTGCAGGGGGAAAACCAGTCTCCCTGTGCATTTCCTCAGGGCATTTGCTCTGCCTGTGCCCCAGCCTATCAGAGATGCCTTGCCAGTCTGTCCTTGGGCTGCATCAGCAAGAGGGTACCTTCCCTGGGGTCTCCCATTTATAGGGTGTCCCATCACAGCTACAGTAAGGCTGCTCTCCAGACAGCCCAGTGCCAAAAATTTTGTATCAGAAATGGTGTGGCCAGCAGGATCAGGGCAGTGATTGTCCCCCTGTACTCAGCACTGGTGAGGCCACACCTTGAATCCTGTGTTGAGTTTGGGTCCCTCAGTTCAGCTAAGACACTGAGGTGCTGAAACGTGTCCAGAGAAGGGCAAGGAAGCTGGTGAAGGGTCTGAGCACAAGTCCCATGAGGAACTGCTGAGGCAACTGGGGTTGTTTAGCCTGGAGAGAGGAGGCTCAGGAGGGACCTCATTGCTCTCTACAGCTACCTGAAAGAACGGTGTAGCCAGGCGAAAGTACTTACTTACTTCCCAAGTAAGAAATGATAGGAAAAGGGAAAGTGGCCTCAGGTTGTGCCAGGGGAGGTTTTAGGTTGGATATTAGGAAAAATTTCTTCACTGAAAGGGTGGTCAGACATGGGAACAGGCTGTCCAGGGAAGTGGTGGAATCATCATCCCTGGAAGTGTTCAAAAGGACAAAAGAAAGAGACCAGCAGTTGGGTAATTTGACTTTGCTTTCCCAGTAAGCATTTCCTAGTCCCAGTCTTGATAGACAGGCCATCAGTGTGGTAAAATGGTTATTTATCTGGTTGAAGGTGAAGGAAGCTGCAGGCCCTGGCACAGAGCTGCAGTGCAGCCCCAAAGTTGCCCGTGGCCAGTCCCCTGCCTGCCCCAGCTCCAGGGATTCCCTGTGCTGCACGAGTCCCACAGCTTTCTTATTGTATGTGCTGATTTGTGCAAAAGTCCAGCACACATGAGAACAACATGAGACTTGCAAATACATGCTTTGCAGCTACTAGAGAAGTCAGTGTATATCTACATGGGCTACAACATACTCTTTAAAACCAAAATAATGATAAGCACATAAAGCCAAAGCCTCAGTGAGAATAAGGAGTTGAGAGTTTAGCCTAGTCTACAGCAAATAGATATTAATAGCCATTTGCAAATTACCTAGTTTCATATTAAAATAAATTTTCTTCATTCCCTCTGGCATTAAGGCTGTGACGGAATTTTTTTTTTTTATGTTATTAATAATTTCTGTAACAACAGTATGCTGCTTTCTTCATACAGTATGCTGACAGTAGCAGCTAACCTGTTGCTTGATAGCAAACAGATTCTGGAGAATTAAAAAAAAAATGTTTTACAGAAGGTTATTTTCCACATGCTAAAAGATGAGGCTTCCTCTCCAAACAATGAATTCAGAAGATTTGACTTTCTAGGTTTTTTCATAACTTCTGTGTAATTCCAAAAAGAGAACAGAAAGGACATTTCTCTTGATCCCTCTCAGAAGTTGCTTTGATCCTTACCTAGCATCTCCTTTTGCTCATCAAAACCTCTTACAGGGGCATTTGGTTGCCTTTCTTTCCTTGCTGGGATCTTGATTGTCCTATCACTGCTGCCCAGGTTACTCAATATAAGTGTGTTTCACCTAAATCCGAGAAAAAAGTGGCATTAACAGTGGCAGGTCCTTAAAAGAATGGAAGAAATGGCATCCATGGGTGTAGGGGATTGGACACAGAAAGCAGATGTCTTAAGATTTCATAATTCAATCTTCCAGAATGCCCATTGACAATAAACGAACAAACCAATAAAAATTAAATGATCTGTCTGATTAAAAATTGGCCATATTTTGCATATATGTGGGAGAGACAGGGACAAGTAATGGGAAAGCAACTTACCCCTCCAAAAGCACCAAGAAATTTTAAGATCAGTATTCCATAGACAGAAATGCCAGTCCATCCAATTTGGATATGGCACACTTGAAGAACTGCTTCTATTTCGCCATGGTGCTTTAAATACTTCCCTGCAAATAACAAAGGGGGACCCACACCAGCAAAATTTTCTTGGAAAATACTGAAAATACCCAGTATCAGCTCCACAGGGAGCATGTGGCACTGCCTCTTCCACTAGCAGTCCCTGGAGGACTGAGCTCTCCTCTTTGCAGATCCCCAGTCCACTGCCTGCAATGGGGACAATGGGCACAATCCATTGAGGAGAACATTAGGGCAGTATCCAACCCTAGCTGTGACTTCCAGCAAGGCCACCCACTGCCAACATGTTACGGGAAAAGTACACCTCACCCTCCATACAGCCCTCTTCCAGAAAAGTCCTGAGAACAAGTGCCTCATTCTTACAAAACTAAGATGCTGGCTTAGTCCATCCCTGGCTCAGAAGCTTTCCAGTTGTATGAGAGGATTTAAAATCAATGGTTAGGCAAAGACTTAATAATCCATATAAGATGTGCCGGGAAAGGTTCTGCAGTAGTGTAAGTCAAAGCACTTCTACTGAAGGCAAGGGATTTCTGGATTCAAGCTCAATAAATTTACCTTACTGATGGCAGCTTCCCATGTAGTAGAGAAATAATGCTCAGAGGGAAAATACAGAATTAACCAGATTCTGTCAGTTAGCAATGTCTATCAGGATAGTTTTTGTATTTTTTTATATGTTTGCACATGGCCTGATTTGCATCTCCCCTTAATCTAAGAAAATGGCATTGGATTCCTCAAGTAGACCTGTCCGAATGAGCTCAAGAATCAGTAGAATGATTTTGCAGACTTAATATGTATCAGGGGCAAAGGGAAACCATTTATGGGATAAGGCACTGTTTAGCATTGAAAGTAATTTCCCCCAGAACCACCTACTGCTCACTTTAGGGAATGAGATGGAAACCGGTGTTGGGCCCTCAATAAATTGAAATGCACACAAATCTGCAGCAACAAATACTGGGTTATAAAACCGAGTAAGAAGGCTCATTTCTGAACATGGGTTCTCAGTTTTCTATATGTCTTCTTGCAAAGTCTGTGAAAATTGTTATAATCCAGATTTTGCATTATCCAAGCAAGGAAAGTGACATTTCATTATTTTTGTTTTGTTTTTAAGAGATACAGAGTATTTAAGCATCTTTTTCCAGGCCCTGCTGTAAGTCTGTAAAGAACTGTAATCAAACCTCAGGAGATTATTTCTCCCTATAGAGTACTATGTCCTGGACTTTCTAATTAAAAAATCATAAAACAAAAAAACTCAAACCTGAGGCTAAGAAAGCTTGTATAGCTTACTGAAAAGTGATTGAAGAGTCTCATTGATGATGCTCAACTAATGGAGAGGCTTTGCCAAAGCAAATGGACTTGTTCTGTGTTGGCAGAGGAGAACCAAGGGAGACCATGTGTACCTGCGGACAGGTATGGTCAACTGCTCCAGATAGCAGATACCAAGTTGCAGAGGCTAATTCTTTGCCCTTTTTACAAGCACTACATTATAAAAATCCTTTTGTCTTTGAGAAAAGCAAAAGGATTTTTTTTACCAGTATTTAAAAAGAAAGTGATCTCCATGCCACTTCCTGTGGCAATCAATGTTCTGCAGCACTGGACTGTTATTATTAGGTTCTGTCAGTTCTTAAGCATTACAAGAAAGATACATACATGTGTATATATATATATATATATATTTAGCATTTATATTTACCATTGTGGAGAAATAAAAAAAATGGAAGAGAGGGACATGAACCAGAGATGACATAGCGTATTGGGAGAAAATGTCAGGATTAAGAGTTTGGGAGGAATCACAGCAGACTTTTGAGTCCCACTTGTTAAGAGTCCAGACTCCTCATTCAGTTCAGTTTGCACTCGTACCAGCAGAACTTTACTGAAGAACAGAGTACAGCTAGAAAAAGGCAAAAAGCAGAACTTCTGTTTTACAGTTGTTTGGTTTGGAGGTTTTTTGGCATGAGGAGAAACTGAGGGTGAGGGAAGACGGATGGAAGTGGTATAGAGAAAGTGAAAAGGGAACCATTTTTATCTGGTTCTCACAGTCCAAGAAGGAGGGTACATCAGCTGAAATTTTGAGTTGTGCAAACAAAGGTGATGCTTACGACACAGAAGCAAGCTCTGCAGGTCACTGTCGTGGCCCTTGGGCAGCAAAAGGAGAAACAAGTTCAAAAAGAAATTGTCAGACATATGGGCTATAGAGCATAAAGGCAGAGATACCAGGTGCTGCTCAGGTATGTAAGCCTTAGGTGGGAATTTGGGATACCAGTGGTAACTTTTTTTTATACCTCACACTGGTTCTATCTTCTTTTTCTGTAAGGGTGTGCTACTGCCACAAGCTGCTGGGCTGGGTGCGCATCTGATCTGATCTCTTCCACTCACTTCTTGAGAAAGTTAAAATACATGTGGGTATACATGTACATATATTGTGTGTGTGTGTGTATTATATATTTATAATACATGCATTCACAGAATCACAGAATGGATCAGATTGGAAAGGACTACAGTGGATCATCTGGTCCAACCTCCCTGCTCAAGCAGGGTCATCGTAGAGCACATGGCACAGGATTGTGTCCAGGCCGTTCTTGACTACTTCCAGTCAGGGAGACTCCACAGCCGCTCTGTCACCCACACAGTAAAGTTCTTCCTCTTGTTGAGGTGGAATTTTCTGTGCATCAGTTTCTGCCTGTTGCCTCTTGTCCTATTGCTTGGCACCACCAAGAAGAGCCTGGCTCCATCCTCTTGGCCCCCCTTTCTCAGATACCTCAGACATTGATGAGATCTCCTCTCAGTTGTCTCTTCTCAAGGATGAACAGGCCCAGCTCCCTGAGCTTTCCTCATAATCATCTTTGTGGCCCTCCTCTGGAGCTGCTCCAGGAGCTCCATGTCTCTCTTGTCCTGAGGAGCCCAGAACTGGACACAGCACTCCAGATGTGGCCTCACTAGGGCTCCATAGAGGGGTAGGATCACCTCCCTTGACCTGCTGGCAATGCTCTTGCTGATGCACCCCAGGCCTTCTTGGCCTCCAGGGCACACAGCTGGCTCATGGACAGCTTGTTTTCCACCAGGACCCCCAGCTCCTTCTCAGCAGGTCTGCTCACAGACTGTACTGGTGCCTGGGGTTATTCTTCCCCAGGTGCAGGACCCTGCACTTGCCTTTGTTGAATTTCAGAAGGTTCCTCTCTGCCCACCTCTCCAACCTGTCGAGGTCCTTCTGAAGGGCTGCACAGCACTCTGGGGTATCAGCCACTCCTCCCAGCTTTGTGTCAACAGTGAACTTGCTGAGGAGGGATCTGCCCTTTCATCCAAGTCATCAATGAATAAGTTAAACAATACTGGCCCAGTACTGAACCCTGGGGAATACTGCTAGTGACAGGCCTCCAACTAGATCCTGTGCCACTGATTAGTAAATATAGTATTATACTATAGTGTACAGTGGGCTTGGTAAATTCTATAGTAGGTTTGACTCCTCTCCCACATGGGCCAGAGATAGGTGTTTGGATGCAATTTGACATGGTTTTATCTCAAAGCAAGGCTAGGCAGGTGTTTTTATGTGAAACCAAATGTTCATGGCCTGATTGATCAAAGCTTTTTAGGTGAAAACTTCTTCAAGAACACATCAGCTCTTGATTATTAAGGTACTGCACAAATTGCAGTGTAAGTAACATGAAATGGGAAAGGCACCCCAGAGAGACCTCCAGCACTGCTGTCCTTCCTGCATGGCAAATGGAGTAGTGTATTCTGCATGAGCTGCAGGTTGTGTCATGGCTTGCAGAGTGTGTTTAAGCAGCCTGGTGTGACAGCAACAAAGGATGACTTGGGAGAGATTCAGATGAAAGGTTACGAAACCTCTCTTCGAGATGCTTGCATCACCAGTATCCATGACCGGACTGGACTGAATCCTCACTCCCTAACTCAAAGTCAGCTAGGAGATTGCAAATTCTTTGCACTGACCCACCTGGGTTACAAGCTGGGGGTCACTGGAGATCCTCCAGCACATAAAAGTGGCAGCTTCCTGAATGACCCATCAAGTGCCTTCTCTGGGCTCTGGTTGCTCTCTTGTCCTGCATTACCTTCACTACCTGCAGATCATGGAGACCAGTGAGACTGAGGTGTAGGAAGTGGAGGCTTAGGGATCCCTGTGCTGCCAACAGCTGGCCAATGTGGGCACATTTGTGTGCACAGACAGGCTGGAGGCTCCCTGGTGAAGCTCAGATCAGTCCTCTGCACTGGCACGTACAGTCACACTCTAAGACAGGTCCTTGGGATAAGGACAGGGAGCTCGGCGAAGCCCTCCTGTTGTAACAGGATGGGAAATCCTGTGTGAGTTTCCTGCCACCCCATTTCCCCACCTTGTGGTTGCTCCTCTTGTGCTTGGTCTTTGTTTTGGCTACCCAGGTACCCACTTTGGCTTTCTGTTTGTCCCTGAGTGTGAAGCAAGGATTGCGTTGGGAGGTTTTTCTTCTTTTGATAAAATGTCTGGACAATGTGAATCTGTTTCTGGCAAGTTATTTCAAGTACTACAGTACCAGAAAGGGGAACATAGGGCCTGAAGCAGCAGGAAGGGTTGGAGGGGAAGGCAATCTCTGCATCTTGGCACATCCTTCTGCAAAACTGGCAGCAACATCCCAGTGTCAACAGACATGTAGAGCAAAGTTTCAGTTTTCTATCCGTTCTGGCCATTGCTGAGCTTCTCAGCACCCATCTTTCCTTAACACAGAACAAAAGCCCCCTCCTCACCCTCACAGAAACCAAAACATCTCAGCCTCAGCTGCTGGCTCAGTGCCTACTTGCTGGAGGAGCAACACCCCGGTACACACATGCACACACAACACACAATTAGGGCTCAGTTTTATTCACAATATATGAGTTTTGGTAAGCGTCCGTAAAGGAAAGCAGATACATTTCAGTCTCTTCCTATGCCTGCTTCTGCCTGCATTTACAGAGCTGTAAATCCCACTGACTTTAATCACACAGTACCTGGCCAAGCAAGAACCACATGTTCCCAGGGAGGTCTAGGACTAGCAGAGCACTGGAAGGGTACAGAGCTGCACGTGGCAGCTTTGGATGGTCAGCCTGACTTCCAGCTGGTGTTCTTGGCTTGCTGCTGCCACTGGCAAGTCAGGCTGGGCTATGTTTTGTTTTCCTCAGCACCACGGCACACTGCCATTTTCTGCCATGGGAAATAGCAAAATAGTCTGATAGTGAGTTAATAATAACCACGTAGCAGCAGAGCTGGATCTAGAGCCACAGAGCCAATAGGCTGCACCAGTTACCCCTTCCAAACAGCACAGCAAAAATCTGTTTTGCTACTGAGCTTTTCATAACCATGTTTTTAGCAGTACTACAGATTGCAGTTAAGTGGTTTTTGCTTGTGTCTGTGGCACTAATCTCAGTCTTTGTCCCGCTCCAGTTAATAGGCTGCATTATTGGCAGACAAGGCAGTAAGATAAATGAAATCAGGCAGATGTCAGGAGCGCAGATCAAGATTGCTAATGCCACAGAAGGCTCCGCAGAACGACAAGTTACAATCACAGGATCCCCTGCAAACATCAGCTTAGCACAGTACCTCATTAATGCAAGGTAAGTTTGCTTTGTAAGTGATCATGCTTCTGCGAGGTTGCTCTGTCTGCTCTCCAGCAAATGTCTGTCCTGGGTAGATCCAGAAAGTTGCTTTGCAGTATCCATTTCGCATAGTATTACTCAATTCCTAATGGTTTGTAAAGCTTGTATCATTAGAAGCTGTGTTTGCTGTTGGTTTATATGGAAAGGAGCTTAATCTGGTGCAATTCCAGGTACATGTTGAATGACAAAAGCTGCAAAATCTGAATACTCATATTATCATCCACCTAAAATATAAGCAGATAAATTAAATTAAATGACAATCATAAATGCTTTAGAAGAAAATACTTTTCACAGACGCATTTTACTGTCCTAAATGGCAAATATAGTGAAACAGATTGCAAAACAGATTTAATTTACCAAGTGGAAATTGCCACTCAGAGTTGATTTCAAACTGACATTTGGTTGCTCAAAAGGCATGGAATATATTTTTTCAGAGGCAGCACCACAAATTTGTAAGAAGCATTCCCTAATGAGACAGGGTGAGACTCCCTGCTTCTTCACTTCTCAGTCCCAGAATTATTGAAAGCACTGGCTGTTTAGCTAAGCCATGACGATGGCTTAAGTGTCTAACAGTTTTTATATGATTATATAGAAAAATATTAAAATTGATACCACCTTTATTTGCAATTATCCAGAGAAGAAAGTGCAATGGATGTAGTGCTGTCTACAGTCCACTGCAAACAGTGGACTGAGGCAATATATTGTGGGGGAGGGGGAGTATCTATGTATTTTATGGCTTTTCTTCTTTTATTTTCTTTTTTCCCCACAAAAATACTGTGATATGAATCAAGCTTTGTGTTTAACTATGTTTGCTGTTAAGGTAGTACAAAGCATGTGATTTATGTGGGGGCTGTAGTCATAGCAGGTCTACAGCTTCCTTTGGTCCAACCTCCTCTCCCATCCCAGTTGTGTAGTGCACCAGTGAAAACTACTGTAAATGGAGTGGAGGACGTTTGTGCAGCTCTGTGTTACAGCAAACAAAAATACTACTTTTTATAATTCAGTCTGAAAGCAGCTTCCTAGGGAAAAATATATTGAGGGGTGGCACTGTGAAAACTAAGATAAGCTGTTTCCAGAATCTTAAAACAACCTACAGCTCTTTTGATTTATATTCTTTGTAGCAAATATAAGTCACTTCCGTAAGCCCTGTAATCAAATAAAAATGTGTTCCCTCCTTTAACCCTTAAGGATATGTTCTTCTCTTGGTGTTCAGGGATTCCCCACACATCGAGACGAGAATAGACCCCTTCATTTTTAGTTGCACAAACACCATATGGCATGCATCTGGATCTCGGAAGATAACAATTTAAGATCTTCAAGACAGCTAAAGCATGCAAATAAAATAATGCACTTATTAATGGAGTTGCAGTGAGCTGCTCACCAGAGACAAACTCTAGTGAACAAACCTGTTTGACTTATTTTAGAAAAGCCTGTGAACTCTCACACTTCTGTTGATTACTGTCTAATGATTCTTTTGATGGAATGGGATCTATATGAGGTCTTTTAACATACTTTCGCAAAGAAGAAAGCTTCTCAGCAGTCATATACTACGGATACTCAATACCCTGTGAAACCAGGAACAAAATATTTTATTCTTGTTAAATTTCTAGATAGAAGTCATTTGTTACCATCGTCTACAATAAACCATCATATATTATTATGTACCATGTGTTGAAACTGTATTTAGATGAAGTGACTTCATTTGTAAATGAAGACTCTTAAAGTAATGTTTAATAAATTAAGCTGTAAGGTAACATAGGAAATTAAGGTGGCTTTTTCATTTTAAAAAGTGACACTGTTCCAGATCTCTCCTTTCGCAAGAGACACTCCTGTCCAGCCAGGTGCCACCACAGCAGCAGTGCTAGGTGGCAGTTGCACTGGAGGAAGGACTGAGAAACTGTCAGGCAAGTGGGAGGTTTGCTCTAGCTGGGGTTTAGGTGCTCAGGCAGGTGTCTGAGGGTCAGAGCCAGGCGGCTGCTGCTGCTGCTGCTTTTGCTGCCTCTGCGTGCTGGGGGCATCTGAGTGTTATGTCAGTCTTAAACCTGTCAGAAGTGATGCCTTCTCTTTTAAAGATGGTGGCATAAAACAGCACTGGGGAAGAGATGAGTACAGTATAGTACTGCCCAAAGTATAGTCTGGTATGGGAAAATAATAATTATAAAAAATAAAAGCCATATAAGCATTCAGTGTAAGGTAGACTTTTTCTTTTTTCTCCCGCACCAGATCTGTTGTTTATGGAAATTTGGTTTCCAGGGCCGGTATTTCTGCATAAACCAGTATCTTTCAGCAGCATAAGATGTAAAAAATCAAAACTAATCTATCCACAGTAATCCTGAAACATTCTGCGTGTATCTTTAAACTATCCTCCAACCAAAGTTGCTGTTTATAGAATAATTTATCAACTTGCTTTAAGACTTTTATTGCAATCTGGTGTTGGATATGTACATAGTATACTCTAAATTATAGATATATAAATATATTGATACAATATCAAGACAGAGATATAAATATTTCTAAAGTATTGTTTTGATTCTGTGTTGATTATTTGAGCACTGACCTCTGTATGAGTAGAACATGTCCTAGTTTGTTCGCAGTACAACTGTCTTATTTCCTGTAAAACCTTCTGTCTCTTAACTGGTCTCCACTGTAGTAACTGGATTTTCATTACCCAATTCCATCTTCTAGCTTTTATTAAGAACAAACTGCAGTTTAGTTTTCCTGTGTAAGACTCAACTTCGGATTATAAATGAACTGTAGCCAGCAGCACTTGCTCCTTGTTGAAGGGCAGTTTCCTGAAAGGTATTTTTTTACTGCCCTTTTCTCAAGGGGTTCATTCATAGAGCTAATAGGACTGCCAAAGCCACATCTGAGCTCTGTTCTTTTCAACAATTTTGGGTGATGCAGGATGTGGCCTTCAGTGTATATATTCAGAAAGCATAGCTCTTCAAAGAGACAGTGTAAAACTGGCATCATGAAATTTTGTATGAAGGCTGCCTCATCCACTTTCACATTTAATTTTGTTGCATCCACAACTGGTTTGGGAAACTGCCACTGCCATGGGACAACTGACAGTTAACCTGATGAACTTTCCCCTTATGTGTTGCCCTTATGTTTCCAGTAACAAATGGGAAGCAGGGCGAATTACTGCTACAATCATACCTGTGTGAGTACACCAGAGACAGGGAGTTTGAATGGCTGCTACCAACACCAGCATTTGGTCTGTGGGATCTATTCTCCTTGCTGGTGCAGGAAAAATCTCAGGCTCAAACACCTTCCCATATCAGTAAGGACTTTTTTTGTTTCTGTTAAATGCACAGTAGGCAAATTTGGAGTTACTGAAACACTTGAGTCCTGCATTATCTTTCTATATGTCTCCCTCCCAGAATAATACTGAGTCATATTAAAAAATCCAACTGTGTAAGCTGAGTTTTTCAAAACATACAGGGTATCACATATAACTCCTACACCCCCAAGTCGAGGATGTACACTGGAGTTGGATTCACTGATTCAGTGGTCTTGATGTAAAATCCCTCAGTCTGAGTAGACTGCAAGTAGCATGTGCTGACAGCACAAGGATGCTCTTCTCTCTGCAAAGAACAGCTCTGCTGCGAGGGTTAGAAAAATTCTGAGTTGCTCATCCATGGGGACAGATGAAGACCACCAGGGAGGAAAATAAAAACTTTACCTCCCACAAAGCAGTCTGCATTTCATGCACTCACCCTCCTCCCCTCCCATCTCCTCACAGCTAATGCGTGCCTTCCAACTTCCCAGCAAAAGCCGCTGAGGAGTTAATACTCCAAGAGCCCTCTTTCACGAGAAAGAGAGAAGCTCAGTGCTTAAGCTCTCCCTCTCTTCTCCATTTTCCTCTCCCCAGCTCAGACCCATTCCAAGTATCCTTTAGACTTGCCCTCAGCAGCAGTGCTTTGGGAAGCTCTCATCCCATGTTCCCATTCCCTGCGTAGCGCTGGTTGATCGCTTGCATCCTTGCATGAACCTTTCTCTGGCTGTCAATAGCCCAGGGGCTGTTACTCTCAAAACTTCGTGTAAGTCTAAGGTGAGGAAAAGCGAGGCTCTTGCAAGCCCTGTGTAGGGTGATCGTGCTCCCCTCCCAGCCTGTAGCCTGGCTACAGCTGCTCTGCAGGCCTGCACACCCCATCCCCAACAGGGACCAGCACAAACCCTATGCTAGGAAGCCTGTAGGGCCTGATGTGGTTTGGTAAGAAAGGGGCAGGTCCTCTGCAGAGACAGCTAGCAGCTTGTTTGCACTCCACTCTGGAGGGGAGGAGCTTCTGCAGCTCCTCAGATCACCTAAGGAGAAAGCCCAGGAGCCTGAGAAGTTAGTAATTACCACAAAGAAAACCCCAAACTTAATAGCAATACACATATAACTGTAGCTAGCAAAGATTTCCTAATCCATAGTCCTATTTATATGCTAGGCTGCCATAGCTCACAGCTGGTCACCTACAAAATGCATCCTGAAATTAATACTTAGGTTATTTGCTGGCCCAAAAGCCAGTGCACAAGCTGCAACAAACAAACAGCAAAGGGAGGATTTATTTAGGCAAACATTTTGTCATCTGAAAAAAAAGATGCGCCCTTGGAAATACTGTCTAAAAACGTACAGAAAAGCAGGAGTATATGGTCCAAACTCATCTCACCTGCTGATGGGTGGATTTAGGCTAAAGTGAAGGTGGTTTGATACTTACATCCTCCAGAAAGAGCCCATCGCTGCCTTGGGCTCGGAGGTTGGGTCAGTCTTGAACTTCCTCGTGCTGTTGAGGTCTGTCTGAGGATATGTATGTTGTATCCATGTAGTACCTTGTCTGTCAGCTGGTAAGCTTTTTCATGTTCACTGTAACCACTGCCACAAGCTCAGAAAGGATACCACTGCTGTGGAAGCCGGGGTGTTTTTCAGTGTTCCTTTTTTACTAATTATCTTATAATTAGATTGCATAAGTATTTTGTTGTGATATTAAAAAGTCTGGGGGAAGTACAAACCGAAGTGAACACACTGGCTAATCTGGTTTTGTTTTATATGAAAAATGCACACTGACCTCACAGTGAATGAAATGAAAAACTAACTTGCTTAAAAAAAAACCCCAACCAAAACTTTATGCCTTAAATGGAAGCAGCAAACTGTTGCTCAATCTCCTCTCATCCTAGCAAAATGACAAAGGGTACTATTTATGTCACAAACTGACAAATTGAAAAAATTACCAAAACCCCCCGCGTCCCCCTTTCAAAAATACCCTAATTATGAAAAGCAAAATTCACCATATCAGTGCTGGGGAGTAAACTTCATAGTTATTTTAAGTTTTCTCTTAAGTTTCGTTTTTTCCATCTTTTGCCATTACCTGCATTCCTTAGATTTCTTTTTTCATGCGTAAAATGAACTAGCAACCCCTCCACCCTCCTTTTTTTTTTCTGTTCCAGAAGAACTTTAGAGTCTCAGTAATGTTTTCACCATCAAATCATGGAAAACCCTTTTGTTATTTCTCTTCTTTAACACATAACATGTTCCTCCTTTGACCCTCATTTTCCCTTTTTTTCTCTCTCTCCCCCTTCTCCCTCCCACTCGTCTGTCCCCCTCGTCCACCGATCTAATCCTGCCCTTTCGTGGTTGCTGTCCTTCCCTCCCTCCTTCTCTCCCTCCTTCCTCCTCCTCCTCCTTTTCCTCCTCCCGACCCCACCGCCCTGGCTGAACCCTCCCAACCTGTTTGTTCCTCTTCCTCTCTTCGTTTGCAGCTTAGAGATGGCTAAAGTCAGCACCCAGACCGCTTCCGTCACGACCCCTGTTGACCTCAACATGAACCTCTCTCAGTCTGCCACCCCTACCTCCACCCCCACCTCCATGGCTGTGCTGGCGGCCGCCTCCGCCGTTACCGTCAGTACCCCCCCTCCCCTACCAACTCTGCCAACCACCCACTATGCCGTTCCTGTCTCCAGTCTGCTTGGCATGAAAACTGTCCCACTCCTGGCACTAAATGCCGCGGCCGCTGCGGGGGCCACGGGGAGTTTGTCCGCTTACACTGCCAAAATTCCTTCGACGAGCGGGGTTAAGAAATCTGACCGCCAGAAGTTTGCTCCATATTGAAGGGATGAGACACACAATGCAAGCTTTGCCAGCTCTACCAAGAGTCTGTGGTAGATCCTAGTTATCAAGGAAACAATACGGCATCTTTTATTTTCTGTTAAATTGCTAGTGTTAACTGTTGCCAACTCAAGTCGTCTTCCGCTCTCCATAACAACTAACACCCAGGCACCACCTACCAACTAGTTCCAACAGCGAGCAGACACCAGCCTGGGCTCCTTCTCCCCCAACACTGCCCCTCTGGCAGGGTGGCAGCCAGGCAGGGTTGCCCCCACCCCAGCAAGGAGAAATGTGAAAGAGACAGAAAACACATAAATGAGGCAAAATTTTGAAAGCCAGGTCCTGCTCCAGCAATACTGCCCAGCATATAAATACACTTATTTGCAGGTATCCCTCCAACTCCAGAACAGTTCCTTATGCAAACTGGCATCTCTGATGACTTTTTCTATTGCTAGGACCTGCAAATCTGGCACTTCTGACGATCACTTGCGCCCCTGAAATCCCACATGAAGTGCTGTTGGCCCCCTCAATTGTTCTTCTGCTACCAGTAGGCCTGAAAATCCCTGTCCCCCTGCCCTGAGACCTGCCTGCAAGCAGGAGAGGGAGGCTACAAAGTACCGAACCTGAGGTACTTCTGCATACAAAAAAAAAAAAGTACAGATGAAGCTTTCTGGTCTGACAAAAACTGCTAAATTAAAATGATTGGAAAACAACAAGGAAAAAATTATCAGGCACCTGTGCCATTCCACTTCATTCTTTTAAAGGGTGCAACAATTTTTCTCTGCTTTGGAAAAACATATTTTTAAGAACTCTGCTTTAGGGAGGGAGAGTGGGAGGGAGAGCAGGCTCCTTGTTTTGGTGTCAGATGTTTTATATATACCGACAAAGTACTTATTTCTTTAAGTACTTAAGAGCAGGTGCAAATCAGATATGCAGTCACTATTCTGGTACCTCCTCCCATGTATATTTTATTCAACCAAAATGACCTTTTTTTTTTTTGTTAGGTTTCTGTACAAAAGACATCCCTGTCTAACTCACCACCAGTCATGCAGTCAGGTTGTATTGTAATCATGAAAATGATGTAGCGCTTATCAAAGGTCATTCAGAAGTTGCTGCTTGGACAGATACCATCCCTTTAACAAGAACTTAAGGATGTTCTCATTACAGACACCTAATTGCAACCAAAGCCAAGAGAGCTGTGGGATGGAGTGGCTGGTTGCTAGCTGTTGGAACTAGTTCTTAACTGCATTTTCTGTTTGTCCATCCACCTTCCTTTTAATTTCTGTTGCATAACTCAGTAATGCAATATTGTTTTCCTCACCACTTCCAAATCCAGAATCCCATTAGCCTGCCATGTTCATCCACTTTGCACTCCTTGGACACAAAGCTTTAACAATTGAACTGTATTCAGTGCATTTTAATATAAACTAAAAACACAATGCAAATGCAATACTTTTTAAAACATGGTATTTCAAAGTGTGTTATTGTATAGGGCTAAGTACTATCTCAGTATTTTGTGTCATTTCTGTATTCTGTGGGCTTTTCTTCACCTTAGCACCTTTGCACTAAGTTTTGTCACTGTAATCATTTGTAGACCTGCCATTGTTACAGTTTGCATTTATCCAAACGAGGTTTTTGGTTGCTTTTGTTGGGGGTTTTTTGTTTTGGTTTTTTGTTTGTTTTGGGCCTTTTTTTGGTTGTATTCTTTTTATTTTTTTTGTTGTATATAATGAAGGAAAAACTGGAAATCATTTCAAGGTACCACAACTATTCAAAAGCTCTAGAAAACTGCTGTAAAACTGTTCTGGGCTATTGTAACTGTTTCAATAATTGACATTTAAGAAAAGAAAAAACAAACCACCAACCTGTGTCAGAAAACTTGCCTGCACTGAAATGCTGTTCTATGCTGGTTGTACTCAAGTGGTATTTTTGTAATAGTGAGAAGATTTTTTTTCTTTTTTTTGCCTTTTTTTTTTTTTTTATTTTCCTCGTTTTTGTTCCTACATTTTAGGCTGTCTTCAGAAGTTACTGGCCTGGGGGCTCTGTAATGTATCTCTTCATGCCCTAGTGCATTAGCCACCAGACAGGACTTTTCCAAAGCCCCATGAGACAATGCTTTCTATGGACTAATCTACAGAGGAGTTTCTGCCATTTCTAACTTTCTTATTATTCTGAGACATCAAAAGAAAATACTTCTTTACTCTTTAAGCAACTGTGCTTCCTAACTCTTGTGTTGCTTTCATTACTGTTCCAGTTTTAACTCTGTTGTGGCTCATAACATAAAGCAAAGACAAGTTATTTTCGGGGGTTAATTTTTATTGATGTTCATGCTTTGGCTAATCTGTATAAAAGCATGGGCCGTTAGTGTTCTAAGCCACTGTATTCAGCTAGAGACTTGACAGTAAATTAAATGAGACGTTTTTATAAATAAATTTTTTTCCTGATTAAAAAAAAAAAAAAAGACGTGGTAGCTTTGTGCATACAACTGTTGTGTTGTTTAAATTTTGTTCTTTGTAACCGAGTTGCTAATTTGTCATTTAAGAAGCACTATTTTATGGATTGTCAAACTAAGATCACAGACAAATCGCTTGTTTTCATTAATGATTAAACGTTCATATCATCACGCTTAAAGTCCCACTGCTCATTGGGAAAGAGTGTAACACCTGTGCAAAACAGGCAACGTTAGAAAGGATGTTAGCCTGTTGTCAGGGATGATGAGGCTTTTCAGGAGTAGATGGAGCCAAATTGTGTAATTAGTAGAGTAAGCAATATTTCTCTAAAACTTTATTTGGTGTTTAACAAAGTTGCTCTTTGAGAACCTCACGCAGTGAACAGAAAAGACAAATTTGTCTTCTTGTTACAAGCAGCCACTGGTTTGTATCTCCAGTGTTTTCCCAAACTGATTTATAGATCAGATACTGGGGAAAGAAAAACAAGAACAAAAGAATGAACTTGGGTACTGAGTACAGCATTGCTAAGACCCTTCGTTCTTTCCCATTCCCAGCAGCATTGTTAGTGAGGCTTCTAGACAGCACCTTCCATTCTGCCACAAAACTAGGCCAGCAGCTGGGAGGAGCATGACAATTCGCATTAGAAGAGGGAGAGTGGAGAGCTGAGGAGGCCGGGGGACAGTCTCATTCTGCCCTGATACTCTGCTAGAGCAGTTCAGGTTCTCCTTTAGATCTGCTAAAGCACTGCAGTCACAGCCTCGAGTTCTCTCTTCACACACAAGCAAAAGAAAGGGGCTGGCCCTGAGCTGCTGTTGCAATCCAGCATCTCTGGCTGCACTCTGTGACCACCTCTCCTCTTAGGGCACTGGCAGTACTTCCACATTTACTGCTTGCTCTATCTTCGTGAGAAAAGCAGAATTTTCTGGCAGTGCAAGTGAGTAGCATCCTTAATGACGTGAGCCTGATTCTACAACCTCCATCTACTGTCTCTACTTGCTTCTGGGAATTTAATTTGGGGTCCCACTTCCCTTCCCTGCCCCAGCTGAACTTGTGGGGCCTACCACTATTATTTTACATGGTCTTCAGGGTACAGACAGTTCTAAAGTGTCTGGGTCTTGAGTCTGAGCCTGGAACTGTATGACCAAGATGTGCATACAGACTTGCAGATCTGTAGAAGTCAACCACTTTTCCAATGCAGATGGAGCCACAGAGCAATTCTTGACAATGAAGGCTGCCAAGGAAGATTACAGAAGAGGTCTTTGCATCCCAGCATCCAGGAAGCCTTACCCAATGTTGACAATTAGCTATTTCAACCCTTAGGTTAAAAGAACTATAGGCTGTAGTACTAACCTTGATAAAATTCTGTTATATTACTTAAAAAATATTTATATTACTTAGAATATATTTAACTTCGTACTCTTGAAGGGAGAGCTGAAGCTGCTTTTACAGCAGAGACCTCCATAGTCTTCATTTCTGCAACAGCAAAAGCTACTTCTATGGCTAGCCTGGCTAGTGTAAACGGAAAAAAAAAAACAAAAACATTATTGTAGCTCAACACTAAGTAGGTCAGGACTTTGCTCTCCCAGTAGAGCTGCCAGGCAAAGGGCAGCAGCAGCTCTGTGGTGTATAGTATCTTTCACATTAATAATTCACGTATGCCTTGCAGAATTGGCTAGAAAAGATTGAGATTTAAACAAACGTGCAGGGACACATTCATGTATGGAATGAGGAGACGTAAAAGGACAAAGGAAGAAAAAGAAGTCTTTTGAGAGGGTTTTTGCAAAAAAATACAGGCACAAGTGTGATAAACTCTAGGCTCATTTTAATTTCATTATTTTAGTTGGAAAATATTTCTGAATGGCAAGAAAAAGCTCCTGAATAGCTTTAATATATAAACTGGACAAACAAAACACTAGAAGGTATGTCTGGAAGGGGGAAAAAATGCAAAAAATAGTACTACCCAAGACAGAAATCTGAACCACTCATGCCAAAGGTAGAAAAGAGGAAGCATGTACCCAATGTGAAAAGGTCACTGCCCACACAACTGTGAGTTTCCAGATGAAAGACAGCACAAGTTCTGCAGCTTCTGCATCATCAAATAGCTATTAGGTTTCTGGAAACATCTCAAATGAATTCAAGCAGCTCTGTTGTGTTTCTCGAGTAAAAAAAAAATTGAAATTATGAATGCTGGCTGGAACAGTCAACCAGAAGGAAAACAAACAAAGTTAGTCCATTGTTAATACGCAGAATGCTTTGTGTTCTCAGGCATAGCTAGAGGGTGTCTGTGGGCCCCAAGGTTCATATCTGTGCCAGTCAAAGCTCCTAGGAAGCTAAGAGCATAAATCTCACTGGTGCCATCAATGCAGGCATCTGGTAAGGGCCTCAGAAGGCTTGCATGGACAAGGTGCTGTTTGTCAGGTTTCACAAGAAAGTGTTAAAGCGTGTGCTGACCCCTTTCCCACCCAAACCAGGCAGAAATGGAAACACTGCCATTGCTTTCATTTTTAAATACCCAACAGCATGAAAAAAAGAGTGTTTCTCTCAGATGGGAAAGATCCAAATCCAGTTTATTCCACAGCCTCAATATCAGCTGAAAGTATTTCAGCACTATTTATGTACTTGGAACAGGACCTTCCCCTTCTTGGGTGAGTGCCATGATTATCTAACAAGAAAGTCACATACACTCACTAATTCAGTCGTTTTACAGGGGCACAGCTTCTACAGAAAAGACTGGAATTGTTGGACTGTTCAACTAGGTCACACAAAGTGGATGTTTAAAGGACAGCATTGAAAGGAGGGATTTGAACAGAGATCTCTTGTATCCTCCGTAACTGCTGTAGCCACCAATTGTGCAAGGCATTTGTCCCTCCACTGTATTTTTGGAAGAAAGACCTGGTTTAGATGTCTGCACAAAGGAAATGCTCACATTTCTTTTCCCAGCTATCAGGTCAGGATAGTTGTAACTGAAGTGATGAACAGAAGATCAGTTGAAGGCAGATACTGAAAAACTGCTTCACACCTGAAATTTCCAACTCTTGGCCTGAGCAATACTTTCTAGGGATTCAAGTACACATCACCCTTCCTGGCACTGCAGTGTATTTGATAAGTTCATTGGTTCTATGAAGGAATGCAGGAATGTTGATTAAAGCAGTGTCTGCATCAATGCATGTGTCCTGTCACTCTACAGACTGGCATGTATCTTAAGACAGTAACTGAAATGAAAGAGAAGTGTCAAATTCATTTGATGCTACCTAACAAAAGGGAATTTCTTTAACATTATATACTCACATTAAGGTTTCTTATGGCAACAACATGATTCCTACAGGCTGAATGTCTGATTTTCTAGTGCAAGCTTTCTGAATTATAAGAAAAAAAATTGGAAAATATTGAAATATTTGAAAATATTTGAATATGACTTCTCATTAGAGCTATTTCTAGCTCAGTGTTTTAAAGACGATAAGATGCAGAGAATCTAATTGTAGTGGTATGAAATAAGCAAAATCTGTCTCTCCTCAAATTGAAATTATTGGCAGGTGGCCTCGCAAAAGCTAATGGTAGTGTTCTTTTTAATCAGTATTTGCAACTCTGAAGCAAATTTTAAAATCAAATTCGGTGGTAGAGGAATAACAATCATGTTAGCAAATGAGAATATTGTTTGGTTTGTTGTTATTTGGGTTTGGTTGTTTTTGCATGGTCACTTCTGGCCTTTTCCACAATCTATTTTCCAAATACAGACCTTTTTCCACATCTGCTTTTAAGTCATGACAGCAGCAGCAGCTTATTTCTTCCAGGGCAGGAGAAAAGGTAGCACACCAATTACCATTTGTGACTGACTGCACTCACCTGCCAGAGAAGAGCTGACCATGAGCAGCTGGCAGCTGTAGCTGTGGTAGCTGCGCCTGCAGAGCTGCTACTTGGAACTCCATTTCAAACATTCATGCACCTACAGGCACATACATCCTGGCCCTGCAAGGCACTTACCAGTTTCACAACCACTGAGCTGGGGAACCTCAACTACTTTTTGGTAGCATGAAATTCCACAGTTCTTAAGTTTGGGCAACACTCTCCATTATTATTATCAATCAACAAGGATTACAAATGTTAAGCACCTTCCCCCTTAATTCTGATTCTTCAGTTTTCTGGAAGTCTTGGAGATCAGAGAATTAAAATAGTCTTCTCAATTCCAATTAAAATTTCATTTTTAATAGTGGCTATGGACAAAGCTAGTTATTAGGACTACTTTAATCTTTATTGTTTAAAAACAGAATTCAAGAAAGTTAAGAAATGAGAGAAATTAAGGAAGTACACATTTTTAAAACAATTATTTTCTCTGATTAATAATCAATCTAGCTCAATAGCTCACCAGAAATACATAAAAGTGTTTTCTAAAGCTGAAGATATATTTCGATTATAAAGTAATTATGCCTATGTTTTTCTAAGACACGGGAGATTATTTGCCTTGATAAATTAGCTTGACTACTGAGTAAGGTTAGGATATATCCCTCTTCTGCCTTATAGCCATGCTACTTCCGTTGCT